GGAGGCTCTGGTGCCGTTCTTGAGCGAGTAGATCTGCTCATCACGACCTGCAGAAAAGGTACATTTGGAAGGACCACAAGGCATAGCAGGCACCACATGCATGAACTGAAACGGGGAGAACCTTCCGCGAGAAGCTCCTCCAGCGGCGTCTCCTCGGCCTCTGCCTGTCAAGACTTGCCACACGCTGCACAGGCACGGCCATTGGGCTTGCCAAATAGCTGTTGCCAAGATGCATCTGGCACAATGGTCACGTCGATAGTTGACGCCGGCACCCGCGGCAAGCTTTCACACTCCTGGCCTACATGTGGCGGGCACCACTCAAAATCCAACTACGCGTGTAAGAGAACGCAGCGCAACTGGGTTACTAGAGGAATTGTAAAGGACAAATACACAATCAACAAGCTTCACTCCGTTCAATGGTCCAGGAGCACACAAGCAACAGTTCGCAGCCTCAATGACTCAATGATGGTCCAAAGGGTTGCAACAGAAAGGATGTTACTTGCTCGCGCACAGGCTAGCGAAGGCATGAGAGCACCCTGTCCTGCTCACCCAAGTTAGCCTTGCGCAAGACGCTCTGCGTCTTCGCGCGGCAGGACTCCACCCCCGAACTTATATTCACCCCTGCACAACTTGCACGCGAGTGAACACACGCCGCAATTACATACTTACAGCGCTGGCCCTGGCTTATAGGCTCGCTCGCACTGCCGCATGCTGCGAGCTGGTAGGAATGAGGTCTGCCCGCAAGCGCTGAGTAGACCACAAAGTCGCTGACAGGCCTGGCTAAAAGCAGAAGGAGCCGAAACCTTCTATACCGGTCTGCTTGCTTATGTAGGCTATGTTATAGGTGCACAGATGGCGAAAGGTGCTCAATAAACTCCCGTCAACTACAGAGTCCCCGATCCTGCCTGGGGTCTTCTGCACGTTTCCCCTTGCCTTCATCTTGTCAATACCGGGCTTCACGTCACTTGCTGCAGCCTGTCGCAACAAACGCAATTCAAAGGTTCAAAGACACGACACTGTACGTAAAAGTTAGCGAACGCAGCATATCCAACCGAGCTGCCGAACCTCCCCTCCCCTCCGTCCCATCCCCCCCATCCCGTCCCCTGCCTGCCGTCCCCTCCTTCCCATCTCCTCCATCCCGCCCCCCTCCGTCCCATCCTCTCCGCACCGTCTTCCTTTCCGTTCCGTCCCTTCCCCTCCGTCCCGTCCCTCCATCCCATCCCCTCCGCCTTCCCTCCCCTCCCCTCCTTCCCATCTCCTGCGTCCCTCCCCCTCCGACCCATCCTCTCCGTACCGCCTCCTCCCCCCCATCCCTCCCGTCCCCTCCTTCCCATGCCCTCCGCCCCGTCTGCTCCGGTCCCGTTTCTTTCACTCCGTCCAACCGCCACATCCGTCCTTCCCGTCTTGTCCCCCACCGTGCCCCTAGCCGTGTCCGCCGTGTCCCCCTCCACGTCCCTCCCCATGACCTCTTCAGTGTCCCTCTCCCTGTACTCCTCCGTGTCCCCTTCCGTGTGTCCTCCATGTCCCCTTGCGTCTCTCCTGCGTGTTTCCCTCCGTGTCCTCCTCCGTTTCCTCTCCAGCACATGGAAAAATGCTCAGTTGCGCCTTGCTGCAATGCTCAAACCCGCATCGTGGGAGGACAGACTTCTCGGTACACTACACTATGCGTGAACAAGTTGCCATCACTAGTTGCTTGTTGCATCCGCGCTTCATGGAGCCAGATTTCACGAGATTCTGTGCAAACTTCGCATACAAGGACATGAAGTGAAGCTTGGTTCTTTGCAAACGTCGCACACGAGGACATGAACTGAAGCTTGGAAGCACTCTACATCCATTCTCTAAATTTTCCAGAAATGTAGGGCCAAAATTTTCCGAAAAATTAGAGGCCGAACAGGAAGAAAGCCCGAGACTCTAAATTTCCGAGAAATTTAGAGGAGCCACGCTCCCCCAAGTCGCATGAAAGGACAATGCCTCGAAACGCAACTCCCAGGCTCTAAATTTCTTAGTAATTTAGAGCGCTGGGAGACACATTCGCAAAGCCCTCCCGAGCCCCTAAATTTTCCAGACATTTAGAGGAAATGCTGGCCCGGAGGGTGGCCGCACGAAAAAGGGCCAGTTGCGACGTTTCGCTTTATAGAGTAGATATCTTAACATCAGCATTATATTTTAATGAAAAATTATATATATATATATATAGATGAGAATTTGATCATCACAATTTAAATATGACATCAACTATTTAATATATCGAAATTTTGTATTCGTAATATATAATTTCAATACAAATTTCAAGCAATGAATAAATATCGACGTACATTTTATTCAAGATTAAACCATCTAATCAAAGAGTTTAATATTGAATATCAACTATATGATAAATATGATTTTGATAATTTTCGAAATTTAAATTACTCAATAGTTTTGAATTTTTCAACTTTTAAATGAAAATTGAAACATACGTTTTGTCTTTTTTCATACTTCTAAATCCTTTACACTTCTAAATATTCAAACAATAGAATATTATTAAGATCTTAGCAAAAAACACAGAATTTAAGAATCATTGAAAACGAAAATCAGAACTGGAAATCATGAAAATAATGAAGATGTTGGAGATAGTGATAATGAATGAGAATAGAATGAATATAGTGAAAAGGATGAGATAGATGAGGTATGGAAGATATTAATATATGGAGTGAAAATATGAACTGATTAGATTTAATATAGGATAAATCGTGTAATTCTAGAATATTTGGATGTGTTACAATATTCTTTTGCCGGATTTCATTAACTAGATATCGAAACAAATGTCGGGCCTCCATCTCAAGGTTTCTGTTTTTATGGCATGCAGGAGTTTTTGGTTGGAGGGCTGGCCGAATATTGCCCGGTGGGCCCGGGCCCTGCAACATTATCCATGGCTTGGAACATTTCCGAGCCAGGCTGGCTGCAAGAGTGACACTAAAGAGGTAAGGGCCAGGCTTCCTGGATTCTGGTGAACTAGTGAAGCAAGCAGCTGTGATGTGTCATCGCTATCCCACATGTACTATGTCTTCTACAGCCATCGACCTTCTCAGCAAGCCAAGGCCCTCGATGAGAGATGCATTGGACTGTACCCTGTGTGCATCTCAGAGATCAACCTCGGCTCCAGAGACCTGCCAGAAAGAGGCACCAAGGCGAAGCTTCGAGCAAGGCCCACTGCCTGCGTCAATGCATCGCTGAAAATGGTGCTCGAAGTCTTTCGGCTCCATAGTCTGTGCTACCTTGCCATTTTGGTCAGGACCCTCTTCGTGTCTGCGGTGCTGACTCAGCTGAGGTCCGCGTCTGCCGGGCCTCTTTCAGCTTTTCCACATCCCCGGTCTTGAAGCACTCTTGCAATTCCAAGGGCAAGCTCTCGAAGACCTGTCTTCTAAGGAAAACGCACGCATGGAGTCGAGCACCCAGCTCCTGCCTCCACGGGGTCGAGACCGCCAGGGCCCATGCGCTCCTCCTTTTCCATGCTGTACATGGCCTTGACGCAGCGGTCTTTCAGTGACGGGCTCATGTTCGCAGGTCCCTGACAGGCTGTCGGACTTGTATTGGGTTTTGCAGATGCTACTCGGGAAGCTCGGCACGAGCGCTCCAAACAGTGTCGCTTATGGGGCAGCAAGTCATATCAATGTGCCTGTATCTGCAAAGGAAACGCTATGCAGAACGGCAGGAACAAGAGGCTCTTAGTCGAAGCATCGAGCCTCTACGAGCGACACGGGCTCCATATCCTGCCAAAGGAGAGGCGAGTGAAGACTGCGGACTACGTGTGACTACGTTCGCTCATGTTGACTAGAGGGCCTCTTCGGCCACTTCTGCCGGAGGCGCTTTCTTCGCCTCCTCGGCCTTCCACTCTGACGTGTCTCTGCGAAGCCACGGCCATAGCTGAGATGGGCCTCCTCCTGCTTCTTGACGATGGCCTGGGGGGAGCATCTACCCGCTCTCCCTTGCACGCTCGGGTCGTCTCTGAGAATGGAACTCGTTGGATCAAATGCTTCTTGAAGTGATCCACACCCTCCTCGTGGCAACACGAACAGCCAAAATTGTATCAGCAACAAGTGGCAACATCAATGAGACTTGCTCAACAGCACCTGCAATCAAGGTAGTATAGTGAAGCATACTGGGCAGGGGTCTGGGAGGTCACAAGAAGACCCTGCCCCAGTTGTCGAAATGGGCCTGAAACGCCATCCTCGAGGCATCATTGCGGAACTTTTCAAAGAATCGTGGCACCTGTCAGGATCCAGGGTCCGACGTAAGCAAGACCAATTGTCTCAGGTACCTGCTACCATGCTGCGATTGCTGCTGCCCGAGTTGGCCCTGGCTGGGTCACGTACCAAATCTCGGGCCGGCCGCCGCATAGGCTCAGCGAGCTGATGGATCTGTGAGATGATCTGGCCCTGCAGGAGGGGACCGCTTGTACAGAGCGACGAAGAGCACTGGTTCACTCAGGCTTATGATCCTGCATCTCAGGACATGTCAAGCCCAGGCTACGCTTGTAGTGGGAACTGAAACCACCAAACTGCATGAAAGCATGCCACAATCAGTCACGAACACATGGCAATAGTCGGGGCTTGCGGTTTAACTTCTCTTCCAACCAAAGGATGAATAACCACGGAGCTTTCTTCGGAGCATGGGCAATGTGAGAATTGACAAGGCAAGAGCCTGTCTCGCCAGCTTTTCCATCTCCTTCCTGTCGCCTTTCATCTCAGCCTCAGCACTTTGCACGCTCGTTTCGAGGCTTCAGGAAAGGCATCTGAGGCAGCGAATGCAACAGCAGATGCATGCTTGGATGCAGAAAGGGCCCGACATCCAAAGCCGCCAACATGAAGTAACCTGGACATCTGCAGGGGTCTGACCATATCTCCCCTCGTGCCGATAGCAGTCAACCTCTGTCTTCGTCCATCAAGGATGCCACCGGCTACTATGGATGCAGTCAGCCCTGACAACTCTTGTCGGAGCGGCTGTTGGCATAATCATCCATCAAGATGTGCCCATACCTGGCGCGCAGGATGCTTTCACTCCGCCGGGCTGGTGCCCCCGCTTGCAGTGAGAAGTGCAACCGCATTTTCGAACCGCAGTTCAAGCTTTGGGCGTTTACTGCAAGCAATCGATACTATACAGGCCGGCAGTAACAAGGCGAAACTGCGCTTGCGCTAGCACTCCTGAAATCCGAATCAACCAGGCAAACAGACTATCTGTCCGTGAAGCCTTGAAGCCAGCCTTGACAAAAAGGGTCCATTGAATCAGGATCTTGCCACTTTGTGTTGTGAGCAGACCAATTTCCCCGGAAGGCCGAGATCTCTCGCTTCCCGGCAACAGCCGGGCATGCCTTCCTCAGTGCACAGGAAGCTGCAACGCAGTTTTGCGCGCGCCTTCACGGCACGGTGGATTGATTCCTCAAGCTCACATGGTTGCACATGTCATGTTCCCGCAAGAACTCCTTGACGGCTTACACAAGCCACATGCTGGGAACACAGATGTGCAACCTGATCATGAAAAGAAGAGGGTGTTGTTATATGTTCAGGCTCTAAACCTTGATTGGCACATGCCGGCCAGGAGCCTGTGTTGCCTTTCTCAAGCTTCCGCCCCAGCCAAAAGGAGGGCTTGAGGGAAGAATCTCGGCGGCCTACCCTAGCAGCGGAAGCTCCAAGGCCCGTCGCCCTCGAGTCGGGCGGAACAAAACCAAGAGGCAACGGACACTGTACATCTTCACAAAACCATGCCCTGGCAGAGCTGAGATCATGCCCGGAGGTCTGCCAAAGCCAAAAGCATAAATTCCCTTGCACTTCCAAGTCTGGCGAAAAGCCGCATCAGTCCCGCAGGCTCTCCGCGGGCCAGTTGCCGACACCGTAAGCCCACACTCGGCGACGGCTGCGAGCATCGCAGCAGAGTTGGAAGATCAGAATGCCTCGCACACCTCAGCCCCGAGCTTGATCCTCTGACTTCCGGGCTGACACTGTCCTAAGCATGGGGCTGGCTCCTGGCTCATGGCCAGTGCACACAGCAGTTTGCCTTTCCTGGACAGCAGTTAACTGCCTCCACCTTTCCAGCAAACTCCGGCCTTCGGGCATGGCCCACCGCTTCGATTCCTAGGTGCTTGTCTCTCTTGCGCGGGTTCGCACCTGTCAAGCTGATAGCCCTCCATGCCGCTAGGCCCTAGGCAGGACCGCACCGTGACAGCTCACATTAACCGAGGCCCTCACCATGTTCCAAAAGCAGTCGAACACATTTCACATGCCCGCTGATCGCGGCTCCTCAATGCTCCCGGCAACAACGTGCACAACAGCAATGTGAAGCTTCCAGTCACCCGGTCTGAGGGCGTGGCGCATCAGCGGGGTGGTCCCTAGGAAGTCCTGATAAATAGAAGGCTCCGGAGCGAATGCTTCGCTTACTCTGTCGCACCTCGCACTCCACCTTCGCTCCGTTCTCAATGAGAAGCTGAAGGCATCCAAGTTCACCGCGAAACGCTGCATGCATGGCAGCCTGGCGAAATTCTGCAACCAGAGCATCCTTGAAGCCAGATGTCAGGCCAGCTGGACCGTCCACCCGTGGTTGTCCGAGGCATTGAGGTCAGCACCATAGCGAATTATGAGGGAGAGGCAATCCTGACATGCCAAGCTAAGCAAGACCTCCGGGCTGGTGCGATGAGATGTCCTGGCGGCCACCGGCTGCAGCCTCCATTGCAGGGGTCTTTCCACGACCTGCAGTCACCGCCCGACTTCCAGTTGGAAAGCATCGAAAGGGCTGAGAATGAAGCTGTCAGAAGCATTGACGTCCACGCCATGAGCGTGCAGTCGCTGCAGCTCCTGTGATTGAAAGGGTTAGCAGGTAGAGGATGGAAAACACCCGCAAATGGGCAGATCCCCCGTGCCTGTGTATCACCCACAGCCGCTGCCTGGAGGCACCTTGCAGAGCGAGAACCAGCACGGAAGAACGCCAAGGCACGCTGCAAAAGTGTGTCTGCGTCTCTGCGTGGTTTTCACTTCTGTGAGACAAACGCTTCTTGTTCGAGGAACACCGACAGCTCGCGCCTTTCACTGTCACTCCAGGTAGCACCCATGCCTTCCCCTTAGCATGGGACTCGTGCAGACAGCTGCGTGCTCGGAAGTGTGACAAAACAAGCGCTACGCTATCGACGTGTTAGCCAAAACGTCCGACTTAGGTGCAGTGGCCCCGTTTTGGTCGTAGCGCAAACTGCGCCCGGCCGGGCACACCGCCCGAAAGCTCGGTGCCGGCACCCTCCCCGATCACCGCCCGGGGGGGCGAGTGCCGGCCGATGGTACCGATAAGTCAGAGAATGAAATGCCTTCATGGGTAGCGAAGGTGGGATTTGAAAACAGGCGAATGGAGCCGAATGCTTCGGCCGATCGCTGGCGCTTGTTCCTATGCTCACACAAGCGTGCTACACACAACAAGCGCTACGCTATTGCCATGCTAACCAAAAACTCCTACTACGGTGCAGTGGCCCCTTTTTGGTCGTAGCGCAGACTGCGCCCGGCCGGGCACACGGCCCGAAAGCTCAGTGCTGGTGCCGGGGTGCACACTTCTGCACCCGCCCGGTGCACCCACGCCCCACCAGGCACCGGGACCTACCCGAAAGCCAAATCCAACAGCCGCCCAGAGGCTCGATGGCAGGCGCAGTCGATGTCCCCCGCTTTCTCACCGAGCACCTGCATGGCCTCGTCGACGGGCGCCCGTAGTCGGGTCCAACCCTCAGCCCGCCCCGGAGTCGTCACCCCGAGACACGATGTCGTTTTTTTCATTCACGCGCATCGACTGAGTCAGCCGTCAAGCGGGCCAGTGTGAACCAGTCACCCTTACAGTGAGGGTTCGCCTGTGATCACTGCAGTCGCCTGAGCGATCAGCTGCAAACAACCGCTGGCTACGGCTACTGCTGTGCCCCGAAAGGCCCGACAGCGGAAGCGGAGCTACAGTGTCAAAAGATGGGTGTCAGCTGTGTGACTCAACAGTGAGACTACGGGCTACGTTGAACTAAATTGGAATGTGACCAGCTGATTCTCATCAGCTTGAGCAAAACTGACTACAGCGATCCTCCCTGCTGCACAAGGGCTCTTGTGTTTCAGTTGGGAGCTCAGTCGCAACTCAAAGGGAGTCAGTCCTGCGAAAAGCCAACAGATAGCCAATGGTTAAAATGCTCTGTTTGCTGGCGTCTGTGCCTGGGGCTTCAGGCGAGGATCCCACAGGCGCCGCCGTTCCGATCGTCGACGAAGTAGACGCCGACAAAGTGGTGGTAGGCGGCGAGGTTGGAGCCTGGGGCGTCGGCGTGGTAAACGTCAGCCCATGCGAAGGCACAACGTCGGCGTCCGGCCGGTCCGCTGCGGCCGCTGGGCGGCAACGAGACGGTCCCTGGCGAAAGTGCCGCCGCCCTGAGAACGTGGAGGGACGGACGACCCGGCGACGAAGTTCATTATGAAGATCTCCGTTTCGGTCTGCACCGCGGCGTCCGGAAAATTCGAGGTCCCAGGCGAAGGCTGGCGTGCCTGGCTCGATGCTAGCCGAGTCGCCCAGAATGGGCTCCCCAGCGACCTACCTCTCCAACACCCATCCCAGGCATCTCCGCAAGCAAAGATGCTGTAGGGGCCGACGGCGAAGTAGTGGGATCAACCACCAAGTCGAGCCCAGCCGCGGCGAGGAAGTCGGCGAAGTCGGACATGAACGCGACGAGAGGAGAGGTGCGAGGGAGAGAATCTGAAAACAGGCGAATCGAGCCGAATGCTTCGGCCGATCGCTGGCGCTTGTTCCTACTCACACAAGTGTGCTACACATCAAAATCGACAGGTGCCCAATCCCAAATTCAAGACGATCAATGCGACAGCAGTAAGGCCGAACGAAGCACAACTCCAAGTACAATCTGCAAGACCAATAGCTTGCAAAATGGATATCAACAAGGCACGCAAGCTCGAAACATGACGGTTTTCGTGCCTCCTCTCACTCCAGCCGCAAAAAGAATCGTTTAGTTCCCTGGATCGAAGGAGACGAAGCGACTCTTTTTTCCAAGCCACTTCACCACGGTGCAGGGCCGAAAAGCGGCCGCAGGGCTCCAGAAGATGACTTTGAATGTCCCAGAGCCAACTCGGCCATCTTGGAGAGGCCACAGGCCAAAGCGAGCAGAGATGCAGAGAAGCTCATAGAAGCGCACCGCCCTACTTAGACCATGCTCTCGCAAGACTCTCCCGGGGATGCGCACTCCTTGCAGAGGCCTTCGGACGTCTCCCAATCAGCGTTGGCAAACTTGTCCAGGATGGCCCTGTGCTTTCGTTGTGCTGTCGGCGAGGCATGTGAGAGATGCGGTCCAAACCCGGCAAGCTGAGGGGCAAACTTGTTGTCCGTCTTAAAAAGAGTGTAATCATCGACGCTGAAGGACTCCTCGCCCTTTTTCAGCTTGTCTTTTCTAGAACCGTCACTGGATTGGATGATGGTTCGTTCCTGGCAGGCTAAGGCAAAAGACCTGTGAAACGAGGAGGTTGTCGTCGGTCCTCCGCCACGTGGCAAACGTTGTTGACGTGCAAAGGCCGCTTGGACTCCAGCTTCTCTGCCTGAGCCAAGCCGAGTTCAGCCTACCCGCATGGAGGGACCGCTTTATGAATGTGCTTGACAAGTGCTTTGCACGAACAAGCATCACAACAAAGCCTTGTCCTTTTCGCCCTTCTCCATCAACTTCTTCTTCTCACTTTCAATCTCCTGGCAGGCACGAGCCGCTCGCCGTCGAAAGGCCACGACCCAAATAACAAGAAACTACACAAGAGTCGGCAGTCCTCCTCTTTTCTGTCTCGCGTTATTCTGTTCACACGGATGTTCAAGCCAGTGTCCAAATTCGGATGGAACCTTGGCAACTAGCAGACATACTCGAATAAGGTGTAAAGCAAACATACTGGAGCTCGCATGGTGCTGCAACTTTTGACAAATTCACACACAGTCCTTCTGAGGTCAAGAACTGCATCTTTATGCTGAAACTATGTCGTGCTTGGCACAGGACACAACGGATTCGTGGTGTTTTGTGAGGACCTGTGATTCTACGAAATTGGTTTGCATATTCGATCTAGTCCCACTCCAGCCTGCCTTCCCAACAAGAGGGTCATACTCTGTTAACTTTCCTGTCTGGCTTACTTCCTTCCTTGTCTTCGTATCCGCCTGCTTGCCTGCCTGCTTTCCTTCCTTCTCTTCCTTCCTTCCGTCCTGCTTGGCTTTTTCGGTTTCTTCCCTCCGTCCTTCCTTCCTTCTTTCCTGGGGGAAATGGAAACTTTGAGAGAGAAATGGCAGGTTTGTCAGTGCTCACAGGGCGAGAAAACTGCAACTTTCAGCAATTCTGAGTTTGATTCTTGATGCCTGTCCCTGTGTGACCTTTGTTGGTTCTATTTGATCTTTTGTTGATCCAAGGCTACTTTTGCTATGCAAAATCAGATTTGGAATGTTTCCACTCGTGTGCTGCCGCAAAATCGGAAGCGAGTTGAAAGCGCAACTTTGGAAGCATGCCATTTGTCCGGCTTTGTTTTGTAGCGAGCCTATAGGCAGATAGGCATGTTGCAAGGGACTTTTCATGCGATTGGAACCGGCAGGAAGAGTGCAGAAAGTATCCAGTGTCTTCAAACGTCCCTGGCGTGCAAATTCATGCAAACTACAATTTATGTATAGTATAGAAGTACAGATTATCACACGGACGTGCGCCGCGCTCAACGTCTTGAGTACCGCGCGGTCGCTTTCCTGCAAACATCCTTCTTTCCATCCACTCTGCTGTTGGTTAGAAACATGTACAGACTCTGCAGCCTCCTTCCTGGAATGAGGTCAAAACACGTCAGAGAGTTGGGGAAATCTCGACGAGCATCTGAGAAGTTCTGAGAGAACCCATTTCGCAATCAGAACATTCGCGAAAACGCTTCGAACAAAAACCTGGCCCCACCCCGAGAAGCTGATTACCGCAACATGAAACGCTCTTCGGCCGGTGAGCCAACACCTTAACTCATGCGCAGCACCACTGCCTGCGACTGAAACCTTGGGGCGTGGCGTAGTCTCATCATCACTTATTTCGAGTCGGTCCCACTTCGAGTAGTCGAAGCCAGACATGGCTGCTGAGCCCTTGAATCTACAGTTCGAACCAAAGTGCTTCGGAGTCATGCGACGTCACTTCATTGCCCGAGATCGATTGGGCCGAGAACCTTTCAAGCAGGAGAGATTAAAGCACGACCAGCGTCAGTTGGCGGCTCTTTTTTGTTCCAAATGCAACGGTTTGTGCCAGGTAGGGTCAATTCGGCCAGCGAACCTTCGGAGCTTGGCTTCCTCCTGTGCGGTTTCCCTCTGCTCTGAAGATGCACTGTTGTCCTGACAGCAGTTGTGCCAGGAATTTGCATTATCACAAGCCTTGCTTGGCTTGCAGAGCTCTTGCAGAGCTGCAGGCCCCTGGTAACGCTTCTGCAACCCAGGAAGGTCGGCGCTCAGTCCAGTGTGTCAGTCTCTGCCACCTGCAAGACTGCAAATGACTCGTGCTGTCTCCTCAGTGATGCTGCTTTGTGCCGGCGGGCGCAGGCATAATGCATTCTATGACTTCATGCACTCTGCATTCTCGTGCCTTCTTGGGCTCTCCGCCGGTGGCTCCCTGTTTCGCAAAGAACGTTCATAGGAGGCTCTAGATAGCAAAGGAACCTAGAGGACCCCGCTCCCACTCCGCAGTCCCCGTGCCCGTCCTGCTGAGGTGCATCCCCTGCGGTGCCCAGAGGAACCTGTCGACAGCATTCGCCAGCATACCGACAGGGGCAGCTCAGAGTGGAGCATTTGTGCGAAGATTCATCTCAGGGAACCTTTGCACAAGACTGCATCAGAACCATGGCTAGTTTGGAATTGGCTCACAAGTGCTTGCACTCGTGCTTGGACTAGCTGTGCACTCGTGCAGCTACCGGTATCTTGAGCTTTTCCATGGTCCCTGCTCGACAGGGCTATCAAGCTGAAGGCGATGAACTCAGAACCCTAAACCGAAGCCCTACCAAGCCAAGCAACTCCTGCACTATTCACATGCCTGAACCCAAGGCAAGGGACCATCGGCAGTCTATGTTCCCACCATGAGGAAAAAGCTGACTTCGATTCAAGCACTTGCTACCTCCGCTGGGTCCAGGTCTGGCAACTCCTGCGAAACCAGCTGACTAGAAGGTACTGGAAGTTCAAGCGCCAGCAGAATGGCGCATGACTTGAAGCGACAGCTGACACATGTTTCTCAAACCAACGCAAATGCCAGTTCATGCAACACCGCTGCTCCATGCAGCGAGTTTAAACGCCTCATCGTCAGAGTCATACTCTGCATCAGCACCCATGTCGCCGAAGTTCATGTCACCCAGACCTGGCGACGGGAGCTGATAGCACGTTTCTACTTCTTCCCATATGCACAAGGTTTCAAGACATTCGGTGCTTAGAATGGATTCGCATTGGCTCCAATGCCAATATCCCCCAATTTCAACCCAGTCCAATATGCCGAGTCATCCGACGCAGAAGATCGATCATGATCGCGCCGGAAGAATGCCAGGGAGGCCGTCCAGGTTCCATGCATTCTGTTTCCCCTCGTCCTCGTCATCTGAGTCTTGCCATCTCTTCCAATCCACCTGCTGCGCCACAAAGACGGCAACCCCAGTGAATCGGCATGGACCACACTGACAAGACTTCATGACTGATTCGACGTTACATCAAGTATACAGACGTCCTCGGGCTGCTATGAACGGCTTTGTAAGTTCGTTGAAGATCTCCGAAGTGTCGACGGATCAGGCCGCCTTAACCCATGGAAGCTTCTTCACCTTGCTGAGGCTCGTCCAACTCCCCTCCGTCTCCTTCTTGAGGTAAAACTCGATTAACCTCTCGCATTAGGAACTCGAAGCTACAAACGACCTCCAAGTTGTCCAACCTCTTGGTGCTCCACTTGGACTCCTCCTTTGCAATCGGGGCCTCAGCGCCAGCGCACGATTCCAGGAAGTGGTCTCGCGGACAGAGATTCCAGGAGCTTTGCAAAGAAGTCCAGTGAAAACTCATAGAGGCTGCCGCCCACCTGTTTATGTTCAGGAGCCGGGCTCGACCTAACAGACAAAAACATCAGCTGAACACATAGCCGCCTTGCCATAGAAGGACATCTTCTCGGAATCTAAGTTCACCTGGCTTCGACTTCGAGCTCCGTCGGTCCATGCGCTCTGCAGGAACGCTGCCTTTATGTCCTGAACTTCTTTCAAGTCTATGGTCAAGTAGACGGCATCCGGGCGTTGTGCCCATAGGACATCCTGACCCGAAAGATGCGGAGATGCGGCAGGAACCAACCGCATCGGAAGTACTTGGTGCCGGACAGGAGTGAGGGACATGACCGGCTATGTGTTGAAACTCTTCAAAACTGTGCCTTGAGCCTAGCCAGGCTTTCCAAGCGCAAGATCACGCAGCAGCAAGATCAGTCCCAACCCAGCAGCCTGCAGCTCTAACGAGGCAGCACCCCCTACTCCCAACACATCCTTTCTGAGCTCGCGATGAGAACAAAGCCGCTCAAACTCTCGACACCTCTCTGTGCGACGGCGCTGGATTTAAAGTACTAACTCACCTGATCCTTCCGAGGCCACAGGAGTTTTCGGTGGCGCGACCAGAGGTGCAAAGAGGTGTCTACAGCCCTCGCCCTGGTCAAATCGGAGCAACCAGGCGACCTCATCACCTGCCGTCGAGAAAAAATGCATATATATATATATACATACATACATACATACATACATACATACACACATACATACATACGTACGTACATACATACATGCACACATGCATGCATACACATATACATATACATATCAGTTTACACGATCTCCACCGCTCG